GATAAATAAGTTTAAGGACTTATTTGTAAATAATATTAATGTATATACATATATAATATATATAATAATTGAAATGTGACTATTTTACAAAATACTAGTCTACTAAAACACAGCCAAGACAGGTCATTTCATAAAGACTAAAGGTCAGTTTTATATTAGTGGATACGGTATCATGTGTGCACGTGCGCCACATCATTGTAACTTCTATATTATTAGCCAGGCATGGCTGTAAGGTCAATATAATAAAAATAATAAATATATATAAATGTATATGTTATGAGATTTAAGCTATTTAGACAAAACATCTGTGTTTTCGTGTTATAATTTGTAGTCATTCCAGAACAAAAAAAGGCATAATTTATATTTATTTCCTAATTTGTTTTATGGTGGTTATGAGGCTGATCAAATTCACTAACCCCCATAGAATTAAGGTAGAAAAAATAACAGAAAAAATATAGTTTTACTGAAAACAAACATTTGAAATGTATTTAGGATGCTTTAGAGATTACACAAATAATATTTGAGTTTTTGGAATGAGCAATAGTTTGTAGTTATAACATGAAAATCACTTCGCACTTGGACTGGCAATGAAACAGACTCAATATTTTCACAAACAAACCTATAATAAAAATACTTCATTAAAAAATCTGATTTTCTGCATACAAAAGACTTGCAATATTTACTAAAAGCTTACCAAATTTTGTGAAGATACATTTACTACATTAAAAGTTATAGTATAAATACTTAACTCGTGTATATTATACTGAGCCCGTCAGAAAAGGGTTAACAAGTTTGACTAAGTAAAACAACAGGTAAGGTGATTCTGAATGGTGTTTGTTTGTTTTGAATCTCGCGCAAAGCTACACGAGGGCTATCTGCACTAGCCATCCCTAATTTAGCAGTGTAAGACTAGAGGGAAGGCAGCTAGTCATCACCACCCACCGCCAACTCTTCGGCTACTCTTTTAGAAACAAATAGTGGGATTGACCATCACATTATAATGCCCCACGACTGAAAGGGCAAGCATGTTTGGTGTGATGGGGAATCAAACCTGCGACCCTCAGATTGCGAGTCGAGCGCCCTAACCACCTGGCCATGCCGGGCCAATTCTGAATGAAAAAGCCAATATGAAATCCAGACCCCTCATACACAGGCCTTCCTTATGATAATTGTAGTGTTTGATTGAAAAATTTGCAATTAAAGTTCTGGAAAGACAAATGTACTATCTATATAGATAAAACTTATTTTAAATACAAAATTGTCATTACAACTTGAAATAAATGTGATTTACAAAACAAAGTATACAATGAAAACACTAGCTGCTGCACTTTTTTTACAGCCAAGGTTCTTCAACTTAATAAGTACTTTTTGAACACACAGAAAGTAATACTTTAATACAGTATTCTACGAGACTGAACAATTCTGTACTGCGTACACAAAAGGTGCTATAATTACAATGCAATATATCCAAGAAATTCTTGATAACCCATAACCTCAAAAAATTTGAAATTATTACACTTTATGCATACATGTAGTTCACCCAGTAGATTCTACAACTAAGTTATTGCACTCCTCAGAGTGAGCAACTAAACGTATAAACTATAAAATGACTTAAATGTCTAGTTCTTTCTAAACTCGCAAACTAGAAAATGATTTCATATATACACACACATACACAACAATGATCAAATTAAACTTTCAACTAACCACTTATCTATATAATAACTACTTAAAAAAATACAAAACAGAAAATTAATCTATACCTTCAGCATGGTTAGTAAATGGATGGTCTGTTTGTCTCCTTTACTTTTTTCTGAAACATTTGTGGATGTTACATTCAAATGGTGATCAAGGTTATGGTATATCCAGGTCACAATTTCTATTATTTTCTTATTCTACAAAAATAAAATAACAAGAAAAAACAAAATCTCTCAGATATGGTTTTTATTGAGTAGATGTTGTGAAATGATAGTGAAATACCAATTTAGCAAAAATTAGTTCATATGAATTCAAACTTAAGTAGTATCATCATCATTTTCATATTGAAATAAACATAATGAAACTTGTACATCAGAAGAAGCATATTTCCAACAGTTAAATTTTAAGGCACATTTATATGACAGAAACTGTATTACACATAAATGTACTATCTTTTTTTTATTTCTAAACTTACTTTAATTAATGTTTTTAATTTTCTTATTTACAAATCTGGAATGCAGATCTATAATTGGTGAAAATAAAACCATATTTGTATCTTTTTATTGATACTTCCCACTTTCCAAACTCAGCTCTTTCAAACAAAAACTCATATTACCTTTTCAGAATGTAGCAATGTATCAACTCTGTAGACTTAAATTAAATAAATTGCAATTTCTATTATTTTAAAAGGCTAAATACTGAATTCTGCAAATTTCAAAATATAATAAATTTATATGTAGTTAAAATGTCCGGGTGTTTAAGATTTAATTTCAGTTTTTGATTATAAAAAAAAACATTTTTTCAAAGCCTGTCAAACTCTAATTAAATAATTTGACTTTTTGAATGTAACTGCCCTCTAGAGATATACTATAATTATCTACCTAAAAGAATCCACACACAGCTTTTTACTTTCCTGCAGAAAACCAATTACAGCAGATATAGCTACTACAACAATACTTCAACCAATCTGGAAGGAGCTAACAGTACTGCCTAAATATAACATAAAATATAATAAAGTTTCAAGGTAAAAAAAAGAAGTTTTTATTCTTATAAAGGTGTAACCAGTTTTCAAAAACAAATTATGTTAGACCATTACTCATCACCAGTGACACAACTGCTAGTAATATAAACAACAAGGTTTAATACCTCATCCAGATCTACTTTGTTTTTGTCCTTCAGCTTTCTGATAATGTTACCCAATGACAGCCAACAGCCTTGTAAATGGGTTTTTTGGCAGAATTCCTGAAATCAGATTAAACTTAATTAAAAGAATACCATTATAACATAACTGCATATATACATATAATTTAAGGACAACATTTTGACTCCTTTGAGTAGAACAGCTTGTAGCCTGCACTTATCTCTTTTGTACTGTGTCCTTTCTACTTGGTCTTTTGAACATACTCAATATTTACTTTTCTTCTTTCTAGTGTATCTACTAGTTCTCAACCTCTTCCAGTCATTGTATTGAAATTCCATGTTACTATCCTTAGTTCCTCAACTTCAGTGGCCTGGTGACTAAGGTGCTTTGCTCACAATCTTCAGATGTTGTGTTCGAATCCCTGTTGCTCATTCTTTTAGCTGTGCCATGGAGATGTTATAATGTGACAGTCAATCTCACTGTTTGTTGGTAAAGGAGTAGCCCAAGAGTTGGCAGTGGGTGGTGCTGACTAGCTACTCTTCTTCTAGTCTATCACTGCTAAGTTAGAGATGGCAAGTGCAGATAGCACTTGTGTAGCTTTATGCAAAATTAAAACCAAACCAAGCTCTAGTTCTCTTCTTTAGCCACCTTTGCTGGCCTAGTGGTACCCATTGCCAACTCTTCATATCAACCAGAGGATAGCAGTGCATGTCGTCTACGGGTTACACCCTAGCTCTATGACATACCATGTGATTCTTCTTCATACTTATTTTGCAAAGTTTTATGCCTGGGTTTCAATCCCTGATAGCAAATATCCTCCTTTCTCAACTGGGCTTCGGATCGACTAAGTAGGAATGGAGTTGGAATTGTGTTAGATAGAGAATTTAAGAAGAAAGTGGTTGAAGTAGAGAAAATGTCAGACTGTGAAGGTGAAAAATGAGGAAGTGTTTCTGAATATAGTGTCTGGTTATGCTCTGCAGACAGGATGTTCTGACAAGAAGAAAGATAATTTTGAAAATAAACTACATGATGTGATTGTAAGGATACCAGATAGTAAGATGTTAATTGTGGTGCAGACCTAAATACACATGTAGGAGAAAAAGTAGATGGGTTTGAAGGGACACATGGAGGGAGAGGCTATGGAATAAGAAACATGGAGGGAAAAGAGAGGTTGGTAGAAATGGCATAGAATATGGATTTGTTCCTGACAAACACCAGGTTCCAAATCAGAGAGGATCACTTCATCACATACAAGATTGACCAGAATAACACACAGATTGACTACATCTAAGTCCAAAGTCCAAAGGAACACCAACATAGAATGTTGATAATGGAGATGAAGAAGAAGAGGAAGAAAAGAAGGAAAAGAAGAAGGGAATTGAGAAGATTAAGGTGTGGAATCTAGGAAAAAAACCGAGAGAAATACAGAGAGGCAGTGAAACAAAAGATGCAGGAGGCTCAAAAGACTGCCAGAAATGTAGAGAGTTACTGGAAAGTATTGAAGAAATAACTGATTCAAGAGTTAGAAAACTTTTGTGGCAGAACAAAAAGACAAGGATCTGAACAGAAGGAAGTAGGGTGGTGGCACAAAAATGTACAGCAAACCAAAGAAAATAAAAAAAGAAGCCTTCAAAGAATGGATGATAAAGAAGGATGACTATTCAAGAATGGTGTACCAAAAAGTAGGCAAAGAGAGTTACAGCAGTGGCAAAGAAAGAGGCAATTAAAAATTGGTATAATGACATGGATACACTAGAAGGGGAGAAGAAGGTATACAGAATAGCTAAGAAGAAGAAGAAGCAATAAAAAATATTAAGATAGGCAAGGCAGAATGTCCAAAAAAGATTGTTACTGAGATGGTCAAGGCATTAGGAGATGGTGGAGTTGAGTATGTATGGACCATGTTGGAGAACACCTGGAGGGAAGAGTGGATACCCACAGAATGAAGAGAGAGCCTACTGATACCCATCAAAAAGGAGATTCTATTGAGTGTGAAAACTATAGAGGAATAAAACTGGTGGAGCATCTGCTGAAAGTGAAAGAAAAAGTACTGGAAAAGAGAATAAAGGAATTCGTAGACATTGACAAAATACAGTTTGGGCTTCAGCATGGGAGAGGAACAATAGATGCAATCTTCATTCTGTGATAGTTGCAGGAGAAGTAACTTAAAGGAAACAAGTAGTTATACCATGCAGTTGTAGATCTGGAAAAAGTGTATGAAAAGGTGCCATGAAAATAAGTATACTGGTGCCTCTGAAAGAAAGGAGTCGTCAAAAAGTTGATTAGACTAGTGACAGCCACTTATTAAGGAGCAACAAAAATTATAAAAATGGTTAAGTTTGAAGTGAACGTTGAACTACATAAAGGGTCAGCCATTAAGTCTCCTGCTATTCATTGCTTTCAGCAGTATCTTGAGTAAAGATGCCATAAGGTACCTCTGTGGGAACTGTTATTTTCTGATGACCTTGTCCTAACACCTGAAAGTGAGCACGAGTTACAAATACAGGTTAAAGTGTGGCAGAAGAGACTTGAAAATGAAAGTCATGGTGAGTGAAAGAGGTAAGAAGAAAAAGGTTAAGATCACAGATGTAAATGGGAAGCTGCTGGAACAGGTAGAAGACTTGAGGTACCTGAGGAGTACAATCCAAAATGAAGAAGAGTGAGAAAGCTCTAAGAGAGAGAGAATCAAGGCAGGTTTGAGGAAGCGGATGGAGTAGCCACGATCATCTCTGACAAAAGATCACCAAGAGCAATGAAAGGCAAAGTATATAACACTGTGATTAGACTGGTACTCCTCTATGGAGCCAAAACTTGAAGAAGAAAGAAGGCTTGTTAATAAGAACAAAAACAAGAATGCTGAGATGGCTGTTGGGAATGTTGCTGAAAGAGGAAAGAATAAATAAGGAAATTAAGAAAATAGCAGGAGTCTGTGGGATAAAAAAAAATACAAGAGAAGCAATGCTGAGGTGGGATGGTCATGAGAAGAACAAACAATGAGAGCATTAGAGCTAACAGCAGCTAGCAAGAGAAGTCAGGAAAGGCCAGTAAAGCATAGGAAAGATGGAATTAAAAAGGACATGAAGGAGAAAAAAATTGCAGAAGCCCGGCAATGAATAAAGATGATTGGGGGAGGGCAACACATGTGAAGGACAATGACCTCTACTAAAGGGAAAAGTGGAAGAAGAAGAACTTTCAAGTAAAGATGGTATCAAATGTAGAAATCTTTAATACATTTTGATTATATAAGAGAACAATAAAAACTTGGCAGATCTCACATATTCTATAAATGTGTTTTGAAACAAGTAATTACAGTATGATTCTGCACTTGAGTTGAAAGATGAAAAATGGTAAATTTATAAAAACTGTTCTTATTATTGCTTTTTAATTCAAATATTTTTATATCAATTGTTAAATATTAAAAAGTAACTCAAAGATGGCTCCAAGTTAAAATTATATAAAAACACTCACCATAATTTGTAAGAGAATCTGGTGATCTGTTTGTCCTTTGAGATCAATGCAAGGAAAAAACATGAAATTTAATTCATGTAAGGAAAAGTAATAACCACGAGCAACCAATGACAGTAATCCTTTTGCACAGTGTAAGGTACAACATTGAAATAGAGCATCTTTAAGAAGTGTAAAAGCAGCATCCTGAAAAAAATAAAATAATATATGAATGGTACATGTAATCTTACTATAGTGCTTTTATATATATACAGACTTAAGGGTAAAACTAAATTCTCTATAATGTGAAATTAACTTAAAAGTGAAGTATACATAACAGGTTATTAATTTTTTTAAAAAAGATATTAATCTATTTAGTTCACTTACCTTTTGAATTTAGGAATGTCTTCAATAATTTTGAAAATATAACACAAGATAATCAAAATTCTTTATTCTTTCAGACTTGTATAAGGCATTTTAACTATGTTGTACAGCATTGCTGACAAAGTCTTTGGCTGATCACCAGAAATGATTGGACTGTAATGCCCAGTCTTAAAGTAATAAATATTTAGTTCACTTATTTCAAAGATCTCAAGTAGTCGAAGCTCACAATGTACGATTTCTTTAATATGACTGATAATATTTCTAAATGCTTTTATACACTTTTCTTACTGAAAACTAGATATGTTCCGAGTAGAGTTTAAAATCACAATCAGTCTTATTGTTTTTCATCACATCTGTTTTCCTCAAAGGATCATAATTTATGAGCTCTATAATTTTAAATTATGTATTTTAGGATAAAACTTGTATAAATTTGAAATACAATTTTGGGGTTGTATTAACCCAGTCTGCCTTATAAACTCTGATATTTAGTAAAATTAAGCTTTGTCCAACAAAGTAGTTTAAATGTTACATACACATACTTCTTGTTACTTTGGTTTGTTTTGAATTTCACACAAAGCTACAACGAGGGCTATCTGCACTAGCCATCCCTAATTTAGCAGTGGAAGACCAGAGGGAAGGCAGATAGTTATTACAACCCACCGCCAACTTTTGTGTTACTCTTTACCAACAAATAGTGGGATTGACCATCGCATTATAATGCACCCACAGCTAAAAAGGTGAGGATGTTTAGTGGAACGAGATTCAAACCCACAACCCTCAAATTGTTAGTCAAGCATCCTAACCACTTCGTCATGCCAGGCCACTTCTTGTTGAAAAGTTACAAGTATCTATTGAATCAATCAAGAATAAAATGTCTTAATTTATTAACAGTCTCAATGTTACATAATTTTACACTTGTTACTATATGCTATAAGATTTTATCTCTTATTAATAGCTGAAATAAATATACACTCTCTTTTTGCAACAAACTTAGTATTTGGTCAGTTAATAGTAAAATGTTTAAATTACAGTCAATTTTTTCATAACTTTTAGAGGAACCCAGAAATTTTTAATATTTTAGAGCATGAAATTGAGAAATTAAAAAAAAATATTATGATCTACAAAGGAAGATGTACAGGGTGATGCAAATATTGTGCCCCATAAGGATTTTGAATAATGATAAAAAAACAAGCAATTATTTTGTTCATTAAAGAAATGTTTGAATTGCTAGCCAATATGCACTTCAAAAGTTCTGGCCAGAAATTTGAACATTTACTTTAATAATCAAAATAGTAATTGTGTTTGTTTTTTTATTGTTATTCAAAATCCCCATGGGACATTACTTTACACTATCCTGTATAGATGAAACATCATCATAATTTACCAATTTGGAGCTGCATTTTAGAAGTATGATCAGTCTTATTATATCACCTTTTAACCCTAAAAAGAAATTTTCATAGATTTTTACTATTAGAAGTAGATAATAAATTTTATTTCTTCTGATACTGTTTGATAAACCTATGTTTAAGTCTCTGCATAAGATGTAAACACTAAGCGTACAGTAAAACCAAATGACAACCCTACCTTACTTACCAGTTACTTTATATCAAAGTGACACAATTTTAAAAAATTAGACTATGACAATGGGGCTCTGAGCTTTAGATATAGAGCTAGAACCAATCAGTAACCCATATAATTACAAAAAATGTATGTGCCAACTTAATAAAGACAGAAGGCCAAGGCAAAAACTTCTGGTGAGAGCAAATAGTGCAAGTGCTTAAAAAAGTCCAATAGCAAAGATGACGTACAACCCATAAAATTCCTACTATTAAACCATACAAGTCAGAACTTCTGCAAACAAAGAAGTAAATAGATTATAAGCTTTACAAGCACATGGGTATAATTATTGAGTATGGGATCTATCGCTAGTAACTAAAGTAGTGAGGAGTTGACATTTCTGTAAGCAGAATCATGCCCAATCTCAATTTTCACTTCTTCCAAAAACGTATAAAAAAAAAAAGTCAGGAAATCTCTAGAAGACTGAAAAACTACCTGACTAGCTACAAAAAAAAATTGTAAAACTAACTTAGTTGAGTAAAGTCTGATTAAGCTACAAGTGAAATACCATAGAGTTAAAATTACACCATTATCCAAATCTTTGTCATCTTACAATAATATTACTAAATACAAACCTTTATTGCTTTTGTGCATGTCATAGGTGTTTCAAAGAACTGGCAGGACTCTACACTATCAACAAGTGGTTGTACATCAGTGGTCAAGTGCAACTGCACTACAAAATCTCGGAAAAGTTGAAGAGTTGAAAGTCTAAACTGTGACTGGGATAAAATAGTTAATTCTGATAAAATCTTATTTACAGGGTTTTTGGGAATTCTGAAGATGCGGTCTAAACTCTTCATCAGTAGTGTACTCCTCAACAGCCCAGAATTATTTCTAGTAAGTATATTTTCATGTGATTTTGATCTTCCCCAGTTCTTCAGCTGAAGTCTGTATCTAATATAAAAGTGGTGTGTTAGCTACATCATAAATCTTAACAGACAATATCTTACTATTCTTTACTACAGGTTTCTAGTCACAAATGAGTACAGTCTTTCAACTATCAGTATATAGTGATGTTTAATGACAATCTATGACCTAAAACAGTTCTCAGTAACTATACCTTCACTTTTTCAACTTTAATTCACTGGTTTAATAAAAAAGCTAAATATAAGCCTACAACTTTTCAAAATTATAGAAATCAGATCTAATGAAAAAAAATGATAAGTGTTATCATGTGAATCATTACACCATATAATCGATAGAGTATGTACAACCTTTTAGCTCTAATCACTTGTAAAGATACATATCTGCGTTACCATGTTTGGTGCACACAAAAACAAAGATAAGCTCATGATGTTGGTGACCCATGACCTGATAGTGATACCAAACACTAATTTATTTGCTAAGAGTAACCTGGTTTTTTTTTCGTAATAACTGCACAGACTGGCATGTTATGATACCTCAATAGGTGATATTAGTGCCTTAAAAAATAATACAAGTACATCTATGCATTTACACTATATCAAACAAATTTTTAATATATATTTACAAGTATAGTACAATATAATGTAACTCCTTCTATATTATTACGTTATCTACTTTTAAGAGATAGGACTTATTAGTTACAACTGGAAAGAATTAAACAAAAATTATAACCTTCAATATCCGATTCACGTAATTAGCTTGTATATGTGAGGTCAATAAATTATAAAACTGACTTTTCCAAAAAATAACAGAGAGTGGAAAAAGGTTTTCCTTTCTTACAGACAGTATTATCAAATATTAAATATTACAAATGAATATACCGCATGCCTCAAAAAACATTATTCTAAATAAATATATATAAAAATAACACTAGTGGTTGAATTTTTGTGAATATTATATAAACCTCATCACAATTCCCAAAATTTACTGCTTCTTATTACAGTACTGTACTCTATTGTTATATATACATTTTAAATAGAATTGCTTGCCATTACCTTTTTTATAAATCGTTCTAGTTCTTTTATTCGTTATTGTAAGTACATCATGTACACAACATGTACATGTATATACCCATACATAAATCATATGTATTTAGCACTGATTACAAAAATACTTAATGAGCAGTTTGAAATGGGGCCTACATTTCCCATCTGGCCTGGGCCTATTAACAGCTTTGCACGGGCCTGGTTGTGTATAGAATGATGAGTGCATAGATTTTATGACTTCTGTTAGTTTGGAGTCATCTACAGAAGGAAAGTTAATTCTTTCAATTTTTAATTATAAGATTACATCTTGAATTGAATGATATCATAAAACAATAGTACATTCATGTTTATTCTGTATTTGGAAGTAGGCCCCTCAAAATCGTAGGCCCATGCCAACTGGCCCAACTTAGATACATGTTGAAAAAGACACCCAAACAGATGATGTATTGAGTTGGATTGAGAATAGATTTCTTGGCTCTAATAATTAAGCCTCCCATGGTGGCTTCTGAAAGGAGAACCTGGGTGTGACATGAGACAGACCATATAATAATGTATGCACAGACCTAAAGAATGAAGGTGATGACAAAAAGCTCATACTATTCTGCAGAACACATATGGTGTTAATGCTAGTCGAAGGGTAGTCTTGAACTGTAGTACCTGACCCTTGTGCACAAAAAATAGATAGTGGCAGGTCAACTCCTCTATGAGAATGTGGAGATAGGCATCAGCAACATCAAACTTTGTTCATCCACAGTCCTGGTGAAAAATGCCAATGTAGGGTGAGTAATGACTCCATTCTGAACCTGGGAGGATCTAAGAATTGGTTGAGATGAGAAAGACTGATGATCAGACAACAATCTCCAGTCTTCTTGGGCACAACAAACAGATGGAAATAAAATCCTGAAAGAACTGGGTTGATTATTTACTGCCCCCCTTGACCAACAACTCTTTGATAGCCCTGAAATGAAGATTCAAACTCCAAGGACCTGTTGGAGGCAGAAACACTACAGGTTGGGGGATAATGGTGGTAGAGATTTGAACTGAGTGACCAACCCCAATGTAAGAACCAGTAGTACTCAAAGATCTGTGGTATAGGAATTCCATACATCCAGAAAATGTCATAACCAAGCCCCCACAACCCTCCCCTTGGCATAGGATAATCACCACTACTGCTGGCGACATTCCAACTAAGCTGAGGAGCCTCTTTGATATGGGCAGAATCTATGCTGGGTTCCAGTGGATTGGAGGGCTGATGTCAGGGGACAGGACACTCAAATAGGAGAAGAGCCATAACTCCCTATAGGTTCCGAAGAAAGTCAAGAGGCCAACAACAACAATGATAAATGCAAACAGGCAACAGCAATCCATGATTCCAATGACTCTGGAACACCCGCAAAAATCAAGGGACAAAGAGAGGGGGGCTTCATGTAACTCACAAAGGGCAGCAGCAGGTAGATGAATGCCCTCCAAACAAGGCATCTCTACCCAACAACATACCAACCAAGAAACTTAAGAAAGAGCAGAAGCTAACAATCATACCAAGGTATATGCCAACAAAGGTTCCAAATTGTCATCAAATTGATGTGGTAATCAAATCACTGAGAGGCTTCTAACAAAATTTGGAAGGATGATAAATATCTCAGAACCATAATGAGGGTCAGACAAATCCTAAAAAATTGTTATCTGTTCTAGTTTATCACAGGCACCATTCTGGAACAGCACATTTCCAAAATACGGGCCTTGTCTTTTTGAGTCTAAATATGCGGTGGTAAGCAAAAAAATTTTGTTCCAACAAATATGGCAGACAAGTCATAGCCATACCTTCACATAATTGAACAGCAATATCAGGTGATGGAGCAAAAACTATGTATTTGCCCTCAGACCTATCTGCCATCAAGGAAGGTGTAGAATCAAAGGCAACTGGGGAAAAATTCCAAAACATCACACACCCGATTGATTAACTGAAGAAAAGGAGCTGGAAGTGGGGGATCCAAATTGGCCTCATGAAAAGCCAACCTAGTAAAGGAAGGTACTGGAAAAAGCGAATCTAAATTCTCTCCAGAATGTCCAGGATCGTCAGCAAAAGAAGCTTCAGAACCTCCCTGGAGAAACACCCCCGGACCAAATGTATGTCTTCATCTCACTACAAATCAGATGACAGACTGCCTCAACTGAGAATAACTCTCCCCCAACTGTTGAGCGATGCTAGATATCAGAGTTGGGAAAGGGGAAGTCTGATTAGCTTCTGTGCCAGAAACAATAACCCAGAAATTCATGCTATATATAGTCATGTCGTAACAAAATTTGTTTTTAAAACGAAAATCAACTAGGTTATGAGAAAAAACGCTTCAAGTGTCTCTAACAGTCGCAGTACAGTGGAATAGGTACAAGACTGTCCAAGTACTCACACACAAGACACTGGATGGTCAATAAGTGTAGTGATGTTAGGGCTCGTTCAGACTATACTGTGGGTGCACACCTCCTCAACCATCAGTCTCTTTGGGTGAAAACCAGCCGTGGGGAGAAGGGCACTTGTGATAAGTATCCATGCACAGCTCCTCTATCATCAGACACTTCAAGCCCTTTGTCAGTCACAGGAGGAGGGTACAGTGTATTCGTTGTTGGTTATTGAACACAACGAATATGGATACTTAACCCTACTGAGACAGGTAGGGGTCAAATGACATGTCATGATATTTGTAGATTTACATTCATTTATTTAGCTATTATTTTATAAATATATGTCAATAAGTTTGATATCAAATTGTAGATTATATTTCAAATGTTGGTATAATGCATTATTTAGTTTCTTAATTTGAAACTAAATATTAAAAAAAAAGGCTAAATATCGATTTTTTTCTGTGTCACATGGTATGTCATCTTCTGGGTTTGGTCAGATTACATTTTATGATGCCCACAATACAATGTCTATACTTTCATACAAATTGGAAACTCATATTTTCGATATCAGCAAGCTAGAACATAAAATAAAAACCTTTGTCCTTTTCTATTTGCCGAGATATCACAATATTTAGCAAACACATCATATTGGCTCCACCCACCACTTCATCACTTGAGAAGACTTATTTATATACTAATAACTTTATAATCAATCAAAAGCTATATATTTATTCTACATAATTCTGTCAGTCTTCCTAAGATATTTATGAGAGAAATTCTCTTATATCATTAAAAAGCTTGAAGTATTGCTATC